TTTTTTTTTTTTTTTTTTTGGGAAAAATGAGTTTTAGAATAATGATTTTTCGGAAAATGTGTGATTAAAAAGTAGGAAAAAAATTTGGTTTACGTGCAAAATATGAGAATGTGTGGCTGAAAATGAGTTGAGAAAAAAAGAGTTGTGTAAAAATGATAGTCAAATAGGGGCTTCGTAATGTGGGCATCATTTGGGAAGCTCGCTGAAAAGGTCTATTTAAAGATAAAGAATGTAAGGCACATAATAGGAAGCAAGCTTATCTATTTATTTCACATCTGACTTTATTAATGACCACATCAATATTGAAACCCTTTCCCAAGACATTGAGCAATCTGCATGTATTGTTGAATGATAGAAATGTAAAATACATATTTTTTCCTCCTTATTTTATGCGCTTGTATGATTATTTTGTGCCAAAATGCACTTATTAATCTCATATTTTGATTTAGCGGCAATTTAATGGAGATGGCATAATTTGGGAGAAATAGGTGAAAATGGACCACAGTGAAAGGAAATGAAAGTTCAAGGACTAACGTGGAAATACACAAAAATTGTGTCAAACCAAACGATGAAAATTTGAGAGTGTTAGAAGTCAATTGAATGAAAAAAGAAGTCAAAGAGATGAAATGTCATCAAAGTAGGATCACACATCAATTTCCAATCAAAAAGTTATGTATCGGATTTTCAGTCTCAGTTTGAGACCCATTTTTGACATGGCAAACGATCGAATTGGAATATGATATCTGGAGCAAAATTGTAGCCCTTTGAATTATCTTTCCAACGCATCTTGAATCGCCTCAATCGGATATCGGAAGAAGAAGATATGATCAAAATACTGAAGGCTGTCCGAAGGAAGTTTCGTAAAATCACGCGGTCGCATGGCTTTAATTCCATGCGGCCGCTAAGACCGCTTCCGAGAGTTTGAGGGCTGAGTTTACTTGTTCCATGCGACCGCAAGCCTCTAAACCATACGGCCGCATGGTTCATTTCCGACACGAAAATTTTGATTTCCGAATTTAAATCAACTACCTATAAAAACAACTATAAATACATATTTAAAACCCTAGAATAGAACGCCTCCAAACCCCATTTTTCATTATTTATCTCTTAGATACATGAATTGTAACTAAACTTTTACACTTAGTCGAATAAACGGAAGCCTCAAAACCACATATTGTGAGATCTAATTAGTTTTTCTTATTGTTTGATTTATATTTTGTGTATTGAATGTTCTTCTGCATTTATTTCTATGATTTGTTGCGTTTAATTGCTAGAAGACCCGCTAATTCATTTATTGTAACAAACTACCGCTAAGTTAAATATCAAATCCGTAATTGTTTGATCCCTTTAACTTGTGAGCACTAGAATTTGATGATTTTCTGCGATAGAGATTATTGAATTTTAAGAAGAATGTTTAAATAAATTGAATACAACCGTTGATGTTTGTATTATCTAGTTCATCGATTTCTCTATTGTGTAAAGCTGTTATTAAATTGAATCTTGAGCGCTAGTCTGGGGTGATTTAATAATTAGGGTTAATTAGAACACTGGTTTCTAACTAACTAAAATTAAGGAGAAATAAGAATTAATTCCAACGACGAATATTAAAAATATGAATTGAATTATCATTGCATCTATGATCAATCGTGAGTTTCCGATAGTGAATGTGGACTTAGACCAAGGTTGGTCTTTTGATTGTTTTCGTTAGTTTAATTTTCATTGTTACTGATTGCGTTATTTACAATTGTTTGCATACAAAAACCCCCAGATTATTGTACGAAGCATAAAATATTGAATTACATACTCTTCGTGTGTCGACTCTTACTTTCCCTACTACATTAGTTTTAGAAGTTAAGATATTACTTGTGGGTGCCTACGACAGCACACACCATTGAACTTTTTGTATATTCTAATTTGGTTCATTGGTTGAGTAGACCTCTATATTCTTATTCTAGCATTTGGAGATGCCTTGAGAAATAATCCCTCAATAAGATTGAACTCTTTGTAGGACACATGATCTTGAAAGCATGAAGACAGGATGTTGCAAGTTCAAGGTTCAATAAAAGTAGGCCATAAAGTCGAGACACCTAATCAGACACTAGATGGAATCTCAGTGATGCCAAGAGGGCGTAGAGGATTTCTAGAAAGTGTTTCCTTGACTCATGTCATTAACTAGTGAGAACTGAGCTTACAGGCACACCCATATATAGATAAGTTCTGCTATAGCAGTATTTGGATAAATTAAAACTATGAAGTCCATAGATTCATCATGCAGAAATCTGTTGTCAAAATAGGGATATCACATCGTGAAAAAAAGACCTGGTAAATGCCTTTGACATATCCGGGCGTGTCAAAAGCTTTGAGAGCAGCAACCCAGCTATGGTGCGCATCGGACCTGCATTTGATAGATAGTCTTTACAGAATCCTAAAATTTTTATCACCAGTGGTGGTGGCTCATCTCTATGAACATAGCTGTCATCAGCCATACTAGTATCCACAGATGATAAATCAAAAGGTATCAATACAAGTATAGATAGCCACAGAAGCATGATGCATTTTGCCTCCATCTCTCCAGTACTTTCTTGCCTTAATGACGTTGCAGCATTTATGTTATGGCATTTATCCAAAAGAGATACTGCAAGTTCAAGATCTGAAACCTGATGCGGAAAGAACTTGATCACAGACTTGTATCCACAAACTGTTTGGTCCCTTATTTATTACTACGTATAAGTCTTTATAATTTCAAGAGTTTCCTCAGAGGCAACAACTTGTTCAGCAGCTCTCGAGCGGACAATTGACATTAGCGGTAAAACTATGCTCTCGAGATAAGGCTCTAACAGCTGACCTTGTTCCTGATACTTGTCCATCTGTACATAAAAATTTTAAGAATCCACACCTTACACCATAAAGCATGTCAAAATTGAAAGGAAAAAATATAACTTATTGAAAACATATGCAAACAGATCAATAAAAGCCAGATTTCTGCATCAATGGAAAAGGGTAAGAAGCACAACTATGTTTGTAGAATTTACAACAAATTAGATCAATAAAATCTAGAGAAAATCTAATATATGTTCAGTAATTATTGTGAAGCAGACAATTAAATCTGTGCCGGTAGAAGCATAATTCCTCGGCTTTATATCACAAAGCAACCAGTAATCAGCTATCATCTTCTCTAAAAATTCATAATTTATTAGCTTTTCTCGCATAAGAAGCCTTGAGATGGCATATTTCTGAGGAAATCTCTTCCCTCATTTTATTAAAAAATTAAAAATGCATCCAAACACATCAATAATAATTACACACTATTTCTGTTCATAATCCAATTTCCAAAGTACTAAAATTTAAATCCCCTGCCACTGGAAGGCACCATCTGCAAAGTATAATGTGCTGTAGCTTCAATTCTCCAAATGTGATCTAACAACACGACAGAAAAATACTTATCAATAAACAATCATAATTCCCCACAAATTAACTCATGGGAAAAGTTCCTCGAGGTACAAGTGCCAAAGCATAAGGAACAACATTACCAAATTGATTGAACTAACAGCTGTTAACAAATAACAAAAACTTCACACAAATTCATCCATGGAAAAAGAAATATCAAGGTGCAAGTGCCAAAGCACAAGGTAAGGCATCACAAAGAGCTTCACAAGCTGTACTTGTGAAGAAGAGACGTACAATGGATCGGATCTTGTGGACGGATAACAAATCGCAGGCGCCTCGATTCAAAACGATGTCGTCTAGCAGCGACTTGACGAGCTTCCATTCTTGGAGGAAGTATCTCTGCAGAACACTTTCTTTCGATTCATGTTCATCATCTTCTACTTGCAATGATGATAATAACGAATTATTCTCGTCATTTTCCATTTTCTTCTCCAATTCTTCCCTGCTAATCGCCATTTTTACACAGATTGAGCTCAGCAAAAAAGAAGATGAGATTCGAGATAACTGAAACTGATTTTGATTTCCCGCGTGGGGATTTGGGGTTTAACATACAATTGATTTTGTTGGATTAGAGAGTGTAATTCGAACGGTTATAATCGAAAATTGAGAAATTATTGAAAATATCATAGCTTTTTCAAAATAACCTTTTACCATTTTAAAAATTTAGGTTCGATCTGATTGCGATGAAAAATGGGTGGAAAGAAAATAATTTATGGGGAAAAAATTTTCCTAAAAAATGTTTTATTGAGAATTATAATTAAGTATGTCTGATTGGTATAATTTTTCACGTGAAAAATTTTTTAAAGTTTGGATTTTTTGTTCATGTTTGGCTTTATTTTATATGGGAATTGTCCATTAAAAATGAATTCTTTTTTACAATTGGTTATAAAATTTGTTAATATTGACAAAAAGTAAAAAAAA